CGAGCAAATATTTGAAGATAGATAGAAAAACATCGAAGAATATTTTCACATATACATTGAAGAAAATACAGTTCAATTGATGATGCATAAAAATAAGATTTTATAGTCGAACGAATGAATAACGAACGAAATGGCCACCAGATTAAACGAGGTATTAAAGTAATACCTAATTCATAAATCATTCGTGATAGAATTCCACTGAAGAAAACATGCCATCCTTCATATTTATATATTAATTTAATATTTTTTTGAACATTCCATGAACTATAAATTTTATCTTGATTAAGATGAAAATACTCATAGGAAATAAATAATCGTTGCATAAGAATTTTAACAGCCATAATATAAAAAATATGTGAAATAATAACTCCAAGAAATTTCCAAAATAATGCATGAATAATCCATTTTATATATGATGATTCTATTAATTGTTTAGCATGATAACGAATATTTTCTAATGTTTTTTCTTCTTTTCTTTTCAATGATATACGATAAACATGAACAAGTGATGAAAAATACGTTAATAAAAAATAAGAAATATACATCATAAAAAATGAGTTAATAAATGGTGATCGATCATAATTGGATAGATACATTAAAGTATATTTTATTAAATTTGGATAAAAATATAATTTAGGTTTTGTTTTAAATAAATAATTATATAATCGTTGAAGAATATTTTCATGTGTTACGATTAATCTATAAATAGATATATAAGATTTTCGATGTTCCATCATATTATATAGGGATAATTCATAAGAATGACTTTGTAAAGATTCTGGATGAAATGGTTCATGACCAATATGAATTAAATGTCGACAAATATTAAATGGATGAAAAAAAATAGGTAATAAAAATAAATTAGTAAATACTAAGAAATTTAATATAAACATTTTTATGTAAAAAAAATCATATAATGATAAATAAAATATTCTTGCGCTAATTTTCAATTGATTTATTCAATATAAACCAAGCATTATAACAAGATTCCATCTGCTGAATATATTTGAAAGTGATGAATTGAAGTGTAACTATTTCATTATATTTCGTTTCGTTTTTATTGCAATGTACCAAAATCAGTCTTATATTTCATTTTGGGGATATTGAGAAAATGCCACAGATTAGATCTGTGGTATTAAGACGTCGCATATCGTGCTTGGCTGCAGAAAATACTGAAAAGTCAGAGCATTATTTATATTTTCGCTACGTAATTCAGTTTGGTAATGAAATAAAATATAGAAGAAGTCATGTGACATTTCTTTTTCTTTATAGGCTCTTTATCAACTCAGTAATATTTGGTAGACATTAGTATTTGGTAGACATCACGGGTAATTCTTATGTGTCTACATAATTAAGAAGTAGCACAATTAATTGATATGAAAATTTCTATGGAATCGTTGAAAGGTTTTGAAACACTACGAAGTGAGCATGACAAAAAATTGATGAAACCTATCGTTTTCCGTACAGGCTTGACTGTTATCAATAAGTGTTTCGTATTAGGTCAGAGAAAAACGATTTTCTAGTAAAGATAACAGACTTGAAAGCTAGAACCATCATGTGACAAATATATTTGTTCAGCTTTATAGAAGTTAGCTTTTCCTTCATTAGGAAAATTTTGAAAGTTAACTATATCCAAAAGGTTTAAACGAAAATCAAACACGAGTGGAAAGTAGGAAAGTGAAGCTTTTTATCAATAAAAAGGAAACATGTCTCAGAAGATATCTTAAAAATATTCTAATGCATCTTACACGTCCAAAGGTTCGAGTTTTCATGAACGGATATAACTGCAAAACTACATATGGTTAGTTCCCGAAAAGAATCGGTTTTGAAAGCCTTAACACAATCTACAATTCAGTAATATCTAATACTCAAACGACGTATACTTTGAAAGTATCAAAACCAAAATCAATCATCCAGTGTTACAAGTATAGTATTAATGGGAAAAGAGAAGAAGCGGCATCTTAACCGGATGTGACTGTAGCTGTAGCCATTGGCTACGTCTAGGTTTCAGTGTCGGTCTGTCTGTAAATACAGTTTGAGTGTGGACCAAGGTGTCAATAGAGATGACAGTGCAAAGGTTCATGATTCATCTACACCCTTCACAACCCTATATCAATAACAACACATTCCTCTGACAATGCTCGCTTTGAAGTGAGCAAAAGAGGTGCACAGAATAGTGATCTTCCTCTTCTATAATGTTCTTTAGGCTATGCTATATATGTGAAAGAGCTTCTGGAGTAGATTGTAGAGGTTTATTATATATGTGCAATGATAGTAACATGGACAAAATCCATGTTCCTGTGGATAGAGATAGATACTTAAGCTTTATTTTTCTTGTTATATATGGATCTTTACTGCAATGACTTATGTATCGGCATTCGAAAATGAATACCATACGACAAACTGCTTTTATCATTATTTGGAAAGATCACGAAAGGAAATAATATCAATAGCGACATATTTTGATGTTTTCTAACAGTTATATTTATGATTTATTTAGGTTGGTCGTGCGAAAGTTACTTGAAATTTTTTATGGTATTTCGCACTTGTATTGACGCATTTTTATCAAGTTTTAACAAAATCTACACCGAACCGTGGAGCCATTGGTAACTCAAATTGAGAGTCGCTCGTAGTCAGAAACTAAGGAGCCTTTCGTACCCTTCGACTCGGCTACTGTCATCGTCTGTATACGCGACACCAGGTTCGAATGCATCTTTATTTCTAATCTTAATGTTTATTCAAATATAGGTATTCATTCAGGAAGAAGACTATTAAAAACACATTTTTAATGTTTGCGTTGGAAGAAAAATTAGTGTTTCATGCACAGACATACGTGAGCACTGTAAACAACACGATAAACAACAACTTCAGCACGAGGCTCCTCATGATAATACGGGTCAATATCACGACGACTAACCGCAATATTATAAGGACGCTTAACAGTAGCAGGAACAGTATGCTTAACAATAACACGATCATCAGGATGAACAGGAAAAAGAGGATAATTACAGGTTGCGCCATCAAATTTCTCAAAAAGTATAGAACCATCGCACCAATCATCCCAATCTGTATCTCCCCAATTCTGGTAATTGCAGACACAATTCCACTCGTTTTGATTACCAATAAAATGCCAATCACAACACTTGTGGCACTCGGCACAAGAACAACCTCCACAACCAAGCTCTTGTGATTCTAAATGAAAATATCAAACAATCACAAAATCATGCAGGACAAAGGTAATGATTTTATAAGAAGTCTATTGAGAGAGCCGCGTTAAACTGGAAATTATCTCAGTAGTAGAACATAACTCTAGTGGATGAGAAAATTATTCTCATCTACAGAGAAATACTTTTAGGAAAGTGTTGAAGAATGAAGATAATCGGAGTCATTCAAAAGTCGACATTAGGTGGGTGTGGATGTGGATGAGAAAGAAAAGTAGCACTCACCCAAACCCCACACCTTTATGTTGACATCTTATATTCTTAAGTTTTTATTCGTAGTCAATCATTACAATGATTTTTTCATTTGATTAAGCTTAGTTTAGACGTTTCATAGAAGTCTATTCAGTTTTCAATATTGATAAATATGAATACATAAACATTATGACATGCACATAATATAATCACACATGAAGCCTTTTAGGTATGATAGTTGCCAATTTTAACTTAATGGAAGTATACTGATAAAATATTTTGAGTTAGCAGGAGGTAGTACATTACCAATTTTAATAAATACAATTGGCATATCATCAGTTGTATCCTGTGGAACTATCGCAGATGGCGTCAATATTTCGTTCTTATACGTTGTCCGATATTGTCCCACATCAGCTGGGCCAAAAATGGCTTGTTTTAATTTATCAATATTTGAATCAGGATCTATATTGATTCTCGATGAAATATGTTGGTTCCGTCGAAACCATACTTGAACCATGTTGGCTATAAATATTCTATTAGCGACAACGTCGAAGACTGATTGCAACCTTTTAAATCCTAGAAAAAGATAGTTTACACAACTGAAAAACTATTTTATGAAGTATTCTCCCAAAAAAGTGCATACCTTTTTCAGGGGTTCATACATGAGCAAAATATATGCCTCTCTCATGAGAACGACTTTTTTTCCAAGCTCATGTTTCATATTTAATATCTCTGTAAAAAATGTGCAGATAATCTGAGATGTTACAACTTGACAGGTACATGTTTTATTTCTTCATTGAAAAAAATTAAGATATAACCGGGATGTGAGTGTGATATGATGTCAATATTTACACCCACCCATCCCCGCACCCATCTCCTGAGCGAACAGAGGCTAGTTCTTTCTACTCTCATCTCAACATGCACGCTCGCATTTGCAAAAAAATCCACCATCGAGTACTTAGGTATAGATTTGCCTTTAGTATCAAAGTTTGGTGAATATATTTTGAAAATTTAGCATTGATATATACGGTTTAATTAAGCGTCTATCACTACGATCTAACAACACAGCTTATCGAGGATTTGTGAAAGAACATCAAAGTTAGAAGAAAATCGATGTATTATTTTGCTTCAAAAGTGAAATTCTTTCTTACCCTTCAGTAGCAAGCAGAACACGTGACTGAAGTTGTACGTTGTCCTTTTACGCGTTCTTCAGAAAAATAAACGACGAGCATATGGCTTCTCGCTCAGTTTCTCTTCAGAAGCTTTTGTTTACACATTACTGTACTGTTTCAGACTGGTAAAAAAACCAACAACTTTGGATGGCACAAAGAGCTGTAGCTATTACAATTAACAGAAAAAACTGCATTTTTTTGTCCTTAAGATATTAAAGTTAATATAAAAAGTTCTTTTGTAGAAATGCACATGCTTAGCAAACGATAAAGAAAATTATTAGTATCTCAATTGGATGGATATGGGTGAGGTTCTGAGTGTGGGTGTATTTAGGTGAGAGTATCGGTGTATGACATTGAACAAACACATTCAAGATGTTAACATGGTAACAAATAATAATTTTAACACTTAGTAAGTGGTGTTTGTGTTAAAAGCAATCTGTATCGTCCTTTAAGTTTAACATGTTGACATGAATATTGATCATCCGTTAAGAATTTCGCAAGAATAATAAAAGAATTTAGAATTATTATGTATTATAAAACTACAACTACCCTGGATAAGCCGATTGTGTTGGGTTTCTTAATGGATCGACTTTCTATATAAAAAAATGTACAAGTATTTTTAAAAATTGTCAAGTTCAATATTTTACTTTAAAAGTATAAACACCTTCACCTTTACCACTAAAATGATATATAAGAAACATATTTCTTCGTATGAAAAATGAATAACAATAATCAGATTCTATGTCTATATATGTGAATGTTTGAATAGAAAATAAAGATCTGTATATATGCATTTGATTTAATTCGAATATATACAAGAAATAAATGATGAGATTAATGTTATTATTACTGTTTCCTTCTTGAAATTTTCAATATAAGAGAGACACTAAATAAAGAAACAAAAACATATTTAATCGAAATCATTTTCATTATCTATTTGCACCAATGTTTGTTTAGGTTGAAGCATTCGTAGAGTATGCATATCAAGAGTTATTTTAAGAAAACTGAAAAACATGTTTCATTGCAAAAGATCTTTATCTTAAATCTAGTGGTGTTAAAAATATATATTGTTTTTTCTTTTCACGAGCCATTTCAAGAACAAGATTCATTGCAGTTCGACGTATTACATGACCCTAAGAGCAGAAATCTCTACAATCAATAAAATAACTCATTATAATTACCATAAAAACGTCAAATTCATCAAGACAACTTTCCAAAGAGCAAGCATAAAATAAACAGTTGAAAATGAACGTTCACCACCTGGTAATGATCGCGTATCTTTATGAACTTCATCTTCATATGATGTAATCTATATGATAAATAAAATATATTTTATAACGATTTTCAAGTGAAAGAGTTCTCTTTCTTGATGATCAAAAGTAGTCTCGCCTATATAATTTCTTGATTCAAGAAATGAAGTAAAACATCTACTTGTAGTTAATTTCGCTGTTGATTCCAAAAGATTTTTATATTATTGATCACGATGATGTGCTGCTTTAAATAGTTTCTATTTAACAAAAAAAGTAACCAGAATTTCATACATGAATAAGTTTTTCTTGTTTATTAACAATATGACAAAATATATGTGATTGTTTAGTAACTGCTTCTACATGTTGTTGAATTTTTCGTAATCCATGTATTGCTCGTCGTCCATTTTCTTTTAAAGCATCACATGTTTGAAGAGTTGTTTTACATTGTTCTCACTTTTAGATTTTTGTTCTTTTAATGTTTCAATACGAGAATCATATTCAGATAATTCATTCTCACAATCACCTACACTAGAATCATTTGATACTTCAACTGATTGTAATTCCCGATATTCCTTAAAAATAAATGAATTTTTGTTTTTTTTTCAAAAATATATTTATATTCAAATATACAGTATATGTTCAGCAAGATCTTCAACAAAATACTGTGGACTACGTTGACGGTATAAGCAACTTATTTATCTGTCACCTCTATTGCAAGTCACACCCACACCCTTATGTAGCACGAAAGAAATTAGAATAATGTAGTTGTATTATAGAATAGATAGAAAAAATATCGAAATAGTCTACTGAAAGATATGAAAAGTGGCTAAAAGAAGCTTTCAGAGAATCAAGTAAAAAAAAAGTGCACTTCATATTTCTAGAATCAGACAAACACATTGTATCATCACATCATGTACTAAAAGTTAAAATTGTTCCAAATTTTATTGAATAAATCAAAAGTGAATATAAGTTACAGAGAACATTTAGAATGAATGTTATTTCGCACGAATAAGTGTACTTTCATATATAACACGTGCTAAAGATCATGTGCTAGAGAGTAATCAAAGGAACGTTTGTATTCGTATGTGTATATCTTTTTCTCTTCTTTTGTTTTCTTCATTTTTCATATAAAGATTACATTGGTCAGCTACGTCTTTCTTTACCATGCACGATAATACATCGAAATTCCCAACTTCTTACTTTTTTTTCTAGTTTTGTTATTTATTTATTGCATCGTCTTCTTTGATGACGTTGAATTTGATCATTTTTTCTCTCTTCTATGAATTCAAAAAATTCGTTTGTAATAAATAAATAATAATTCTTCTTTCTCAACGAAATTATATCTCCTATTATACTGTTTTTTTTTGTTTGATTATCATGTATCTTTTAGATTTTTGTATTTGAAGCAATACATAAACATAAGGTAATATTATTGATAAAAGTTATTTTCTTTGTTTGTATTTTTGTCATGATTAGATGAATACTAAATATCATATGTTGGATAATTCTCTCGGGCATATTAAATCAATTAATACAATTCTACAAAAAATAGAACTATTTATTTTACGTTTATCAAAAGCTATATTAAATTATCCTGTCACTTTTTTCAAATCTTCTCGTTCCATTATAAATATTCTTCTTTTCATCATTATTCTATTAATATTAAATGGTCAACCAAAAAGTATCTTTCAACCTAAGGCACATATTCCATGGTTAACTAATGTTCATCATAATAAAGAGTAAACTTGATAGAAGTCAAATAAAGTATAAAGTGCA